TACTGTATTATATATCTCCAATCAGCAGTGCTTTTCTGTCTGTAAGTCTACTTTAGCAGCCGGTCTTATCTCGTGCCGCCGTCTCCTCATTTCAACTCTACTTATCCTGTTAGTGCCCTGGAATGGGAATCTGGAAGTGAAAGATTCTCTTGACGGTTCAACTGGGTTTGGGTTTGGAGAGTGTCCAAAACAGAGTTGTTTTTGTGTGAAGTGAGGTAGAAATATCATTTACAGAATCATTACACAGCATCCAGGAGGTTGTGATGAGATGCTGTTAGGGCTGAATAACAAAAGGAGAAAACCACATCCAGAGAAGAGGGATGGCAGATCATATTATTGGCAGAGTGTGTGTGTTTTTTTAAAGTGAGGCAGGAACAGAACGGTGCATTGAACATCGTATCTGTGTGTGTGTGAAAAGTGATGTTGTGTTCTGTCATTCGTGGCTCCTGAGATTGAAGGCACCATGGGTCACTAGTCACATAGACTATCTAGCCACAGCATTCACACACACACACACGTAGGCGTCATTTTAACGTCCAGTTCAGAGATGATGTAACAAAGACATAACAAAGTCATGTTCTTGAGTCCTGTTTCTGGTAGTATTTTTCTAACCAAAAATCGTTCCATTAATTGGATCGATCCTAATGTTTCCCGGAGTAAAAGAGACCAGATCTTGAAATGTAATCACCCATCATTTAGCTATTGTTACTCCTCTATGCTAATAACAAAAAATCGTTCCATTAATTGGATCGATCTTAATGTTTCCCGGAGTAAAAGAGAGCAGATCTTGAAATGTAATCAGCCATCATTTAGCTATTGTTACACCTCTATGCTAATAACGTCACATAACGTGTTAAGACAAAGAATGCATGACCAGATATTCATCACCTCAGAGGTCTAATTCGTCGACCTCTTCGTCGTTTCCTTGTTCCACATCACACACTAATCCGAGATACATAACCATGAAAATGATTTACTACAGAATACAGCTGATTAAATCAGGATGCATTTACATGATTGTCAACCACAGTCTCCTGCATATTGCATCATACAGTACAGTACAGTAAAAGCTAATCAATACTGTAGTGTGTCGGTGAGCGCTGCACTGACGGTACACTGACTCACCCTCACTGGAGCAGTCACAGCCAGTCTTCTACAGTAGTGAAACTGAATGTGGACATGGTTTTTGCAGGGCTGCCAATCATCCTGGCAGGACAGCCCTTCAGCTCAGCAGGGCTTCAGAAAAACACCTCAAATTATATATTTAAAAAAGAAAATCACATTTTTCCTTTTCATTTTACCGTTACTTTTACAGTGTGGCTTTTTAAAGCTGTGGTTTCTGGGTAACTATTTACAGCTCCAGTAAAAGATTTTAAAAGACGTCCCATAATATAAAAAAAAATGTCTGGAATCAGCGCATTAAAATCAGATGGTGGCGGGAAGCCATTCAATCTGACGATGCAGAATAATGTCCACATTAAAGGGAAACAGCTAGAAGTGCGGGAGAATTGACTTTTTTCAGCCTCCCACGATCGAGCAGCCACATAAAGCTCAATGTCTCCGCGCTTTAATGTGTGTCGTTAACTTTGTGAACTTTTTGGCAACGGTACCGACCCTTAAACACATCGCAGGTCCAGATTAGACCATACATCCTGGATGGTGGGTATCTGTCCACACCGGAGGACCCAAATCACTAACCCTCTGAGCACATGTCCACTGCCCCCTCTCTCCGGACTCTCTTGTATCTGCTGATCCTTCTGCACCGTCCAGAAGAGAGCTCTCTTTGTGCCGGCACTGGCAGGCAGTCAGAGGCAGAGAGATGGATATGGCTGTGACTGACCTGATTCTGCCTCACTGCCTGGCCTTAGTCCAAGAACACAGACTGTGTTTTCCTGTCCCTCTGTCTTCAGGATCTCCTCCCTTACTGTACTGTGGGACTGAGCCAAAAACACCTAACGAGCAGAGTTACGGTTGGAGTTTGTAGATTATTCTTCAAGAAGCTGTTTAGACACTGAGCTCATGCAGGAGTCGTCCGCTTTTTAACCTCTGACTCAGCAGTGAATGCTACTTAAAGAACAAGTCAGTACAAGCTTCGCTGAGAAAAGAGTTTTGGACCAACAGGTCATCTGATAGCTGTGTGCTGACCTGAGTGTGGTCTTCTGAGAACGGTCAAGAGTCGGAGCAGCTCAAACACTTCATCTCTGCCTCCGAGCCTTGTTTTCTTAACTGATGCATATCTCTGACGGTTCCTGATCCTCATGGGTTTGACACTAAGACATAACAAACCCTGATATATCTGAATATTTACATTTAAAAAAGACTCAGACTATTAATTAAAAACATTTACAATACTTCAAGTAAGTTAAATCTAGTAGAATGTTCAATTTTAGGTAAGAAATAAAAAATCAAGATCAGGTCAGAACGAGGCTTTTATTTTGAAAAATTAGTTTTATTTTATTCTCAATAGGCCATGTCAAAAATGGACGTCTGTATATTAAAGCTATGTTATCAGTGTTAACCCAAACACAGGTCTTTGCACACGTTTATAAAAACACAGTCCAGACATCACAGGATCAAAGAAAGTAGTTTGATATAAATCAAAAGGTGAAAATAAAAGTCCATGTTGTAGCAGCAGTATCTGGTTGGTTGACAGTGTCAAGGTGTCGCAGTGCTTTTTTTTTTCGTTCCTCCGCCGTCACTCCTGGAATCGTCAGTGTCATGTTTTGGTATAATGAAAATGTGTCTTTTTGGCTTAAAGCACTGACAGACAGAAGGTGTATGAATTTCATTAGACTGTGGAATACAGGACAGGAACACTGGCTGTGAGTGACAGCAGACAGGGAACCAGCATGTCAGTGGAATGAACACACACACACACACACACACACATATATATACACGTTGTGATTGGGATTTTTTTTTTAAATTCAAAAATGTGAAACTAGAGGAAGTAGCTGGGAGGAAGAGGAAGTAGTTTTATTATTTTTTATTCTGTTCCTTATGTATTTTACTCATATGGTTAACAATAAAGAATAATATATTCTGAATATTTAATCATGAAATATATTCCTTATCTTGCTTTTTGATTGTTTGAGTAAAACAATGACATTTCACCTCTGACCGTCGCTCTCATCAGCGTCCCATCAGTCCAACACTGAGCTAACACAGGACATGTAGGACAGAGTGCACCCCCGACAGCATCCCGATCTGAAAAGGTCAGGATGAGAAACAAGTGGAGGCGGGGGTGAGGGGCTGGTTGAAAAAGTGCATGGGAAAAAAAAAAGAAAAAAAATTCTTCTCTCGTCTGCCACCACTCACCTGTCGTCTCTGTTTACGCCACGCCGTGTTGTTAGCCATCATCTCTCAATTCATGCGCTGTCCCTATGTGTCCTCGTCTTTTACCCTCAAACCACAGGACACAATCAAATTTGAGTCTCCTCTATTGATCACTGATACCACTCCTCATAAACCCCTGTTATTGCCTGGAGCTTGTTGTGGCCAAGGGCAGCCGTCTTCCATTTGTCTAATGAAAGCAGAGCCCATATTTCCTCCCGTGGCTCAGTCTGAGGCTTCTGATGATAATGATGGCCCTGTAGTGAAAGGTTGTGAGGAGTCGCTAGGTGCTCAGAGGATTGATTGATTGGGTCTGGGAGGTGCATTTCCAGGAAGAGTAATGGAAAATAAGACATCTGCTAAAAGACCCTCTGCCCCTGTGCCTCAAAAAGCTCAATAAAAGCCAGGCTTTTATCAATCTGTGTTGATTCCGTTCCTGACAAGCAGGTTTGTTTCCTTTCACTGACAATTTCACGCAATAACAGACGTGTTTTAAAGATCAGGATGTAAGTGAGCAGCGTTTTTATTCTTGTGCAGGCACAGAGGCATTGATGTTTATCTGTTCACTAAAAACTGCCTCTGTTTATGTCCCAAACTCTGCCTCTCACCCAGCCCTACACCTAAAACAATGACCAGTCACAGGCGTCATTATTTTCTTATCAAAACCCACAAGTCTACAAGCACTGGGCAGGAGCCAGATGAAAACCCATGCATGCAAAACAAAAAATGTAACGTCAGGCACAAAACATGAAACACAGCCGTCTGTATATAATCAGAAAATCACAGCAGCGTGTCCTCAGAGAAAGCAGAACAGATGAAGTGCCATCAGTGCGACTGGCGCTCCCGACGTTTAAATGCCCAGCCCTGATTTGCCTGAGAGCAGTGGAGGATGTAGCACTTTTCTTCACAGTTCACTTTGAATCATTTCGCAGTAAATATCTTGCGGCACCGGCGTTGCTGCAGTGGGTGGACAGTGGGGAATTGTGCCTGACAGAGCGGCCTCTGGTGCAGTCACACAGCCAGAGCTCCGACTGCAGTCTTCCTCTGTCTTACTTTCTTTTACTGCAACGTCTGACATGGGCATCAGCAGGTGCACAGCCGCATATAAATGGCTTGCAAATCCTCCCTTTTCTCACCTTTGCTCACCTCTGTACAAATCCCTAGCTCGATGAAATTCTCTCTGACTGGACGTTGATTACAGTTTTTTTTTTTATAAATCTGAAAAACGCCACAGGGTCAGAGCTTTCTTTCTCTGGACTGGAGAACGAAAGCAACTACTAACTTTTACATGGACTACAGCTCTGCCATATTTACACAGTTTTCTGTGTTCACAAAAAATAGTTGGGAGAAAAAAAAAGAGGACCCCCCCCCCCCCCCCCCCCAAAAAAAAAAAAAAAAAAACTTGTCTGCAAACTTGATTGGACGATGCCTGTGAGTGTCAAACCCTGAACCCTTACAAATGTTTAAAACATTACGTCCTTGTGGACATTGAAAATTCCCACGGAGATTCAGTTGTGTCCACTCATCCAGGCTGATTTTCCTTGTCTATCAGAAAAATGATTACAAAAATAAAGTATGAAATACTGTCTAATGAACTCTTTTTTTGTATTTTTACTTTGAATTAAAAACGCCTTTTTTTGACACATGTATTGTCCTTGTCTTCACAGCTGTTGACCATCGATGACGACTTCTGCGGCTTGGACATGAACGCACCGCTCGGCGTGTCCGAGATGGTCCGTGGCAGACCGCTCATCTCCGACGCCGTGGACAAAATGACCTCCGTCATCGCCTACGTCTACAAGAACCACTCCCTCGTCTTCGTGGGCACCAAAAATGGCCGAGTTAAGAAGGTAAGGGAAAAAAATACAAAATGAACAGGATGAATGCGACAGAGATTTGGTTTCTCTCTCTGTGTGTGTGTGTGTGTGTGTGTGTGTGTATGTGAATGTGGAGCGGAGGCTGGGAATTGGGGACTGGTGGTTTGGAGGAAGGACATTGGTCGTGAGACAGATTGACTTTCAGGCAAATCAGCTGAGTTGACTGTATTTGTAAAAGGAAGATGGGTCTGTGTGTGTGTGTGTGTGTGTGTGTCTGTATTAAAGGAAGGAAGAGTGAAAGATGCAAGTGTGTGGACAGAATTTAAGAGAGTGTGTGTGTGTGTCTGAGAGGAGGGGGGATCAGGGGAGCCCCAAAGGGGGTTTTATTCCTTCAGTCAAGCCTATCTGGTGTCTCTCAACATCCTCCTTATCCACTGCACCATATATCAGGCCGACAGTCGTGCAGCACACACACACACACACACACACACACACACAGTAGCAGGAGTATCCACTGTACTTTTCGCTTTGGACTTGAATAAAAGCCTGCGCCCCGGGGGCAGATTGTAGCAGACATCAGCATGTTGCAGAACTTGCTAGACAGCACAGATCAGCATGTTGCTGCATCGATCGGAGCAACTTTCTTATCCGTTACTGGAGGCAATTTCAGGTATTAGGCCGGGGCAGAGGTCTGCAGCTTTGAACACCTGAGGAAATGAACGTCGTTACCGTTTGACCACAAAATTAAATTCATCAAGAGCTGCATGAAACATAATTAAAATACTAAACAAAATACTGCAGTATTTTTTTTACAGATTTACTTAAAGGCAATAGTTTATCGTTGTTGTAACCCTACAACATTTACATTGCTTCTGTTAGCTGCGTTGTGGTTAGCTTTATTAAACAGGATGTTAGTGTGACAGTGACAGTGATGTTTGTTTTTCTGGTAGCAACAAACTCTGAACTTTGTAAAAGATTTTGTAAAAAAAATATCTGTTAGTCAGTGGTAAATCACTGCAGAAGGTGTATAAATATCTAATAATCCCATTGGTTGATTGGTTGTATTAGTCATCCATGACCCGTAGCAAAGGTCGGAGTGTAAGCCCTGGTTTGATTTATTCAATTAGTTCTGAGTCTGTGCAGGATGTTGACTGTGGTTTTGTTACTTCTGACACTCGGTGACAGACGAGCTCTTAGCTAAACAAGATTTGTCCTCTGTCAAAGCTGGTGCAGCTCTGTTTTGGCTGTTGTCTTTTCCCACTCTGCACCCTCCTCACCCCTCCTCACCGCTCCCTCCTCACCCCTCCCTTCCTCCCTCCCTCCCTCCCTCACATGCAGTCCTTTTCTGGGCTAATGGGATGATGCGCCGCTACAAGGTGTGACAGAAGTGTGGGCAGCCCCCGTGCTTTTTTACCTCCTCTTTACCACAGAGCTTCCAGGATGCAGCTGATGACTGTGACTGAGACAAATTCCAAAGGGAAAGCCAGGTCACTGAGGCTGTAGCCGTAGCTGGACAGAAGCATGAAAGGGGCAGAAGACGCTCCAAAAACCCTGGTCCTACCTACAAATACCATTTCCACAGTAGCTGGTACACTTTCTGCAGACAGAAACTGGTTTAAAAATTGGAATAGAGGCAAAGAAAAGCTAAGATATGAAAATGTGTCCTTCCTAAGAAGATACAAAATTAACATTCAAAGGTTAAGGTTAAAATTTCAAGACATTTTTTTTTCAATTGAGACAACAAATAAATGGTGTATAAAAAGTGAATGCACTAATGAAATTGGGTAAACATTTTTTAAAACAAGTGTGGGAAGTTCCTGAGTCATTCCTCAAAGTTCTTGTAGACAACAAATAAATGGTGTATAAAAAGTCATTCCTCAAAGTTCTCGTCGAGACACCATCTTGGATCATGATTCAGAATCTTTAAAAAAAAAAAAAAATGTTGACCTCGATGGATTTGTCATGATTCAGAATCTTTAAAAAAAAAAATTGTTGACCTCGATGGATTTGCGAGTTTATTGACAGCGTGTGGGAAACTGAGCAGCTCTGGCAGAGGTTGGCTCCGTCATGATGGAATCACATTCATCCCAACCGCTGAAATATGACCAGCATTCATGAGTTTTTACACTGTTGGTTCTTGTTTATTGTTGGCTGCTGCCTGTGATGACTGTTGCTCTTTTATTCTGCACGGGAACAGGGCGGTTTGAGTCAGTGGTTTTCCCTTTGGTACAAGACAATAAACAAGACGTAGGCAGATGTTAGGAACACGGGGAAACACTGCATGTAATCATATTTAATGCCTGCTGCTCGTCTGTGATGATGAGAGTCAGTTAGCACAGAGGAAATTCGGCGAAAACATTACAGGCATCCTTGCTTTGTGAACATTTTTTTTTTTTTTTTTGCTACGGGATGTTAAAATCCATTTCTGTTCCTGCTTATCTTTGTGCGTCTTCTTCTCTCCCCTGGCCTCCCTCCAGTCTCTGCTCTCCAAAACCTCGTACTGGCACTTGAAGAATCCTGTCTGCAGGATTTTGGCACTGTTCTCCATGAATGAAGAAAAGACACGCATGTGGGCAATTTACAGGCAAAGACGGTCCACGACAAGCCGTGATCGATACCTTGTGTCAGCAGAGACGCACACAAGTTGCACACAGCCCCATTACTGCCCCATCCGCCCCTCCCATGTACATACTTCCCCCTCCCCTGTCGTTAGCTGTATACCATTAGATGACATCACTGGCAATAAAACACAACAACAAGACAATAAAAGGTCTGAGACTCAGTCCACCTCCTTCATCAGTGACTTTATAACCCCTCAGCTAATGGATGTTGATTTATATACACTCCTCCACCTTATTTGTTCCAACATCAACCCTCCTGCCCCCCCACCCCCACCCCCTCCCCTCCGTCTCTCAGCTCTTCTCTCACACTCACTCTTTCAATCTTTACAATTTGTTGCTTTTTCCCCCTGGCGTTATTTATGATCCAACACGCTGTCCTGAATAAACATAAGAAATACAGTAAAGAGAGAGTGGGAGGACGTGGACACGTCTGAGTGAACTGACTGTTAGCTTTTTACAGGCCGACGTTTATGACATCATCAAGTAGGACGGGAAGCTGAGTGAATTAGGTTCAATCCGCCTGTGAATATTGGTTTATGTGATTTGGTTTAGAGTAAAACGACCGGCGGGATTTGAGTACATGGTGACGGCAGAGATTAACACGGCTGGATGTAAAGCAGTCAAATCCTGGGCTCTTTAGATCTAATTTGACATATAAACCACTAAATACATAAAAATAAAATATTATATTAACATTATATTGGGAATTACACATTTATATATGTATATATACAGTATATATAAATACATGTAATGTTCATTTTTACCACATAATTTTACTAGTTTGGCATAAACAATAAAATATTCAGTTGTGTATTTTCAAATATTACATTATATAGTACAATTATCCACAATAAATAGTATTATGTTTTATGTTAACTATCTTCATAATTTTGTTGCACTTTTTAAATTTTTTTTGCCAATAACAAACATCATTTATCCAAAGATGAAAGATGATTTTAAAGTAATTCCTTTTTTTTAGGAAGTTCCTCATTGTTGGTCCTTGTTATAACATCACGTTATTGGTTGTGGTGATGATGATGATGATGATGATGGTGATGATGATGATGATGATGGTGATGATCAGTTTGGGAAAAGCCGAAGTGACAGATGTTTAGACCAGTTCGTCTCAGAAACACAGACAAACCTTGAAGCACGTACATTTTTCACTCTCCCCGGTGTTTGATACACATCGTGACCGAGTCACTTTCATCACATTTACTCTACTCTTGGCTCAGCGCAGAATAAAATCCCTACGTCTGAAATGTGTCTAACATGTGAGAAGCTGTGCCGTGTGTAAAACCGTATTAACACAGTTGAAGCGCAGGCTTCTTGTCATGGCCAGACCTGCAGCGCTGTCAAACCAGTAGAATCCTGCCTACTGACAGCTGCAGCCGTCTTCATCCCTTCACTGTTTCTTCTTACATTCCCAACCGTCTGTGTTTCTCTTGTAACCGTCTGTACTGTTTACCACTAACCGCATGGATCTCCTCGTTTCCTTGTTGCTCCTCCTCCTCCTCCTCCTTTTATGAATTTTCAAGCCTGGCCGTCTCCTCCTGCAGTCTGTGGCTCTAAGTGGAATTACAGTAAAAGGTCTAATGGCTACCTGCTGCCATTGTTTTGGTTGGTGTGTGATGGTGGGTTTGTGTGTGCGTGCAGTTGTGTGGAGATGGAACGATTGTGACTGTGAAAGGTTTGAACCATTCACTGCAGGTCAGTGAACAACAGTAGGTCAGGGGGAAACCTGCCACCCCCTCCCCAACCTTCCTACAGGCTCTGGATTAGTTCATGGTCGTCTGGTCACGCTGCACATTAGCATGAGAGCTACACATACGTGCAGGTTAGCCACAGCACACGATTGCATGTGTTTAGATAAGTGCACGCACGCATGCACGGATACTGAATACCTGCGTGCACCCAACAGCTGCTGGACCAGGCTGACGGCCTGGTCTTTGGGGACCAGAGGTGGTGCAGAGGGCCACCCACTGAGGTGCTAATGCATCTCTCCTCTGTCCATCCCGGGGGGGGGGGCTCGAGAGACTGAGCGGCTAGAATGAGACGTACAAACAACAAATACAAACCTTAATATCAGAAAAGTTGGTGCATTTCCAGAGAAGGCAGTTTATACATAAAGATCTGGTGTGGTGGTGTCTCTGAAGCTTTGTCTATCGAGTAAAATAAAAAACAAAAATCAGTGAAAATATATTCAAATGGTTAAATAGGTCATAAAGGGTCAAATGTTTTAAAAGGTTTGTCTGAAATAGTTAGGAACTAGGCAACTGGTCCGGTCTGGTTTCTAGAAGACTTTTCACTTCTCTTCTAAGAAGCGAAACGTCTTGTGGGAACCAGGGCAGTCCAGTTGCCTAGTTCCTCAGTGCTTCAGATATAATGACCTGGATAACCAAGAATCTT